CCCATGGACATCCAGGCTCTGGTCAACCCACGCCTTCAGCTCACAGTGGAGGAAGATCTGCCACACACACACACACACACACACACACACACACACACACACACACACACACACACACACACACACACACACACACACACACACCACACACACACACACACACACACACACACCTGAGATGCGTCCCCACAGACGTCATGACCTCTGCACCTCAGACTGACCTTCTTTCCCACAGTGAGAGCAGACGCCTGCAGAGACAAGAGCAGCTCATCCGGCCGGCGGCGGGGCGCGAAACTGGAGTTACCCAGCAGCAGACACCTACACACACACACACACACACACACACACACACACACACACACACACACACACACACACTGACTGACCCGCTGTTGCTGATGACCGGCTGGACGGTGGCGCTGCGGCTCAGCTCCGCATCAGGGGCCATCACACAGCTCTCTATGAACAGCCTCAGGGGTCCGGGGCCTCCAGACTGCACCGCGGCTCTGATGGGGATCCTGGAGCCCAGGGGGAAGCGGAGGGACGGGGCGGCGGCGCTGAAGTCTCCTGCAGAACAGAAACATCAGCAGAGTCCAGCGGAGGAGCAGCACATCTGACCAGCACTGACCACTCATCATCTGCAGGAGGAAGAGGAGCTGCTGCGGTCCAACATCAGCATCAGCAGCGGACGCCAGCGGACTCACTGACCTGAGCAGAACACACACACACACACACACACACACACACACACACACACACACACACACACACACACAGTGTACCTGATTCCTGCTTCCCCACACCTGCAGATGTAGGCTGTTTTAGCTGAGAGTCTGTGATGATGTCATTGATTTAATAAGATGTGATGTTTAATCTGCTCTCTGCCCTCTTGTGGCCGCAGCAGGCAGTGCAGTAGTGTTCCTGTGACTGTAACTGTTGCATTTACAATGGAGGATTATTTGAGTTTTGCTTGTTTAACTTGGGCTTTTAGCCATACTGAGTGCGTGCGTGCGTGTGTGTGTGTGTGTGTGTGTGTGTGTGTGTGTGTGTGTGTGTGTGTGTGTGTGTGTGTGTGTGTGTAGGTGTCTGCTGCTGGGTAACTCCAGTTTCGCGCCCCGCCGCCGGCCGGATGAGCTGCTCTTGTCTCTGCAGGCGTCTGCTCTCACTGTGGGAAAGAAGGTCAGTCTGAGGTGCAGAGGTCATGACGTCTGTGGGGACGCATCTCAGGTGTGTGTGTGTGTGTGTGTGTGTGTGTGTGTGTGTGTGTGTGTGCATATCTTCCTCCACTGTTAGCTGAACGCGTGTTTTGACCAGAGCCTGAATGTCCATGGGAAAGCCTGCCAGTACATGCCGACGCAGCACAGGTCACACACACACACACACACACACA